AGAATCTCCCACAGGTGTAGACACATAAACAGGAGAACTCAAAGAATCACGAGATATGTCCAAATATGGGGAAAAATAAGAGGACACATAAGAATAAGCGGAGCCTGGATCAAATAAGACCGACGCATCTCTATGACAGACCGCAACAATACTTGTAACGACAGGGTCGAAAGCAACTGCCTATTTACGAGCAGGAAGAGCATAATATCTGGCTTGGCCTCCCCCTCTAGGGCGACCTCTACCTCCCCGACCTCCACCTCGAGTTGGCTGAGCAGGTGGAGTGGTAGCTGGTGTTGTAATCATAGCCTGAGGACCTGGTGGAGCACGCGGTGCCCGGGAAGTCTGTGGAGGTGCACCCCTCTTAAGTCTGGGGCAATCCCTCACCATATGGCGAGTGTCGCCACACGCAAAACAAGCTCTCGGAGGGCATGGCTGCTATGACTGGCTTGGGCTAGGTCGATTGGACTGACCACTGAAAGCACCCCGTGCGGGAGGTACACTAGACACTGGCGGTGCATAATAAGGCTCCCAGGGCCTAGGAATTGCCGAAATACCATTGGCGGCTGGAAGTGCTGAGTGAACAGGGCGACTCACATAGCCCCTACCATGATGAACTGCAGCTGGGGCACAAATACCACTATAAGTGCCAGACTCTCGAGACCTCTTGGCCTCTCTCTCCTCTCTCTCTCTCCCGAGCAAGCATGCCCTCCACTCTCCTAGAAATATCCACAACCTGCTGGTAGGAAATATCCATCTCCAACTCCTGGGCCATGCTAATCTTGATGTTGGGATGGAGCCCCTCGATAAACTGACAGACCCTCTCTCGAACTGTAGCGACCCAGGCTGGAGCATGCCTAGCCAAATCATTGAAGCAAACCACATACTCTGACACAGTCATAGCACCCTGGCGCAACTGCTCAAACTCGGCGCGCCATGCATCTCTGAGACTCTGGGGAACATACTCCCTCAAGAACATATCCGAGAACTGAGTCCAAGTAAGTGAAGCTGCTTCGGTCGGACTACCTAACTCATAAGCACGCCACCACTGATAGGCCGTTCCTCTAAGCTGGAACGCAGTGAAAGAAACCCCACTCGACTGTGCTACGCCCATGGTACGGAGGATACGGTGGCACTCCTCAAGAAAACCTTGAGCGTCCTTTCACGCTAATCCACTGAAAGTAGGAGGGTGGTACTTCTTGTACCTCTCGAGCCTGAGCTGCTCCTCCTCAGAAGCTGCTGCCCTACCCTCGGGCCGAACTAGAGCTATCGGCTGCATCTATGTGATCTCTGGAGCCTGGCCGACCAGAACCCGCTGCTCTGGAATACGGGCGGCGGGAGGCAGTGCTCCTCCCGCGGCCTAAGATGTGGTAGGAGCAAGTGGAATCAATCCAGCCTGAGCCAAGGTGCTGAACATGCTCTGGAACTGTGCAAGGGTCTCTTGAAGAGCTGGTGCAGTAACAGGTGTCTCAGGTGCCTGCACTCTGACTGGGGCTACTGGTGGTTCCTCTGTAGCAGCTCGTGTGGGTGCTTTGGCTGCACCACGTGGACGTCATCGGCCTCTACCTCGGCCCCGGCCTCTCGCGGCTCTAGCAGGGGCGCGGGTGCCTGGTCATCAGATTTTCTTGTACATGTCCTTACCATCTGTGAGAGAATAGAAGACAGAAGTTTAGAATTTCGAAGTCAACAATTTCGCACGACAAGGAGTCAAGAAAAGTGAAATTTTCCTAACTGTTCCATAGCCTCCCGAAGATAACTACAAACGTCACCGTACGGATCCGCGAGACTCTACTAAAACAGCTTGTGACTCACGATACCTATGAACCTAGAGCTCTGATACCAACTTGTCACGACCCAAATCTCCCTCCACTAAGACGTCATGATGGCACCTAGTCTCTACGACCAGGTAAGCCTAACCAATTGCCGAAATAACAAAAAAGGAAGTAAAAACTTAACGGCAATAACTAACACTCTAGTAATACACAGTATTTCCAAAACCCGGAACAACATAAGTCACAAGCTACAGAAGATAAACTAGTATCTCTATACACCAGAGTCTAAGAAAAGAAGTACGGAAGGTAAATGACATAGGAGGGAATAGAGGGGGACTCCGAGGTCTGCGGATGCGGCAGATATACCTTGGAGTCTCCAAACTGTCGCTGCTCACTGATGACGTGGCTAATAGGAAGTACCTAGATCTGCACACAAACTATGTGCAGAAGAGTAGTATGAGTACACCACAACGGTACCTAGTAAATGCCAAGCCTAACCTCAGTCGAGTAGCGACGAGGACAGGTCAGGGCCCACTGGTATATAATAAATAAACTAGAAGAATATAGCAATATAATAAGAGACTGGAATTTAACAAAGAGGAAAACACAGCAAAATAACAGTACAACACACAAGGATAAAACACCAGGGGATCTCTCGAGATACCGTCTCGTAGTCCCAAAAGTAAAGATACAAGGAGATCTCCCGAGGTAATGCCTCGTAGTCTCAAAAGTAAAGGTGCAAGGGGATCTCCCGAGATACCGCCTCGTAGCCCCAAAAGTAAACACACAGCTCAAATCGCTAAATACAACAATTAATAGCAATAATTCTACAGTTAAGACTGATACAGATCAAGGAAAGACAGAAAATCAACTAGGCATGTTGCATAGAGTTCAAATAAGCAGTTAAAGCACGTAGACATGCGATATTAGACTAAACAGGATAACTACACATGCTGGTATAACTCAACTAAGATAAAAATAGGTTACTACTCAGTAAAAGTCAGATTTTACAATAGTTAGCCCGTGTACGCACTCGTCACCTCGCGTACACGACGCTCACATAACACAATAGTACCAAATCCTAAGGGGATCTCCCCAACATAAGGTTAGGCAAGTTACCTCGAACCATGCTCAATCAATCACTAAGAATGCCTTTTCCACGATTTCCCAACTCCGAATAGCCCAAATCTAGCCAGTTCACTCTCCGTGCCTGCGGGCCTTTAAGCGCACATGCGGGCTCGCAGATGCGGCATTTCCCTCGCGCCTGCGACCCCTGGCCACTCATTCCAAATCCACTTCTGCGCTTGATCTCAAGCACGTGCGTGCCCGCACCTGCGGTCACCCCACCGCAGGTGCGAAAACAGTAGAAGCTTGAAAGCTTCAGTGATTTACACAAGTCCAAATTCGATCTGTAAAGCTCCGAAACTCACCCGAGGCCCACGGGACCTCAACCAAAGGTACCAACAAGTCCTAACACATTATACGAACTTAGTCGAGCCTCCAAATCACATCAAATAATGCTAAAAACACGAATCACCCTCCAATTCAAACTTAATGAACTTTGAAACTTCAAACTTCTACAACCGATGCCGAAACCTATCAAACCACGTCCGATCGACCTCAAATTTTGCACACAAGTCAAATTCGACATTACGAACCTACTCCAACTTTCGAAATCGTAATCCGACCCCGATATCAGAAAGTCTACTTCTGGTCAAACTTTTCAAAAATTCAATTTTCGTCATTTCAAGCCTAATTCAATTACAGACCTCCAATTCACAATTCGGACACGCTAAATCACCCAACGGAGCTAACGGAACCGACGAAACTCCATTCCGGAGTCGTCTTCACACAGTTCCGACGGTCAAAATCATAGAACTTAAGCTTCCGTTTTAGGGACTAAGTGTCCTAAATCACTCCGAAACCACGAACAAAACCTCCCGACAAGTCACATATGCAGAAAAGGATACGGGGAAAGCAGTAAATAGGGGATCGGGGCTAATACTCTCAAAACGACCGGCCAGGTCGTTACACTAGGACAGGATTTAACCTAATGGAGCAATTCGGGTTACAGTAATAAGGATTAGAAAATGGTATTTCTCTATTAAATTGACATAAAAGTTAAAACTGTAACGAGAAAAGAAAATCCCTTTTAGTACATTAGGATGTTTTGGTGGATGTATTGAACTTAAGACTTAAGTCCCAAGAACTTGAACTCCTAATTCTATCATAAATATTTATCTTTAATGAAATTAAACATACAAAAATCATTGTAAGTCAATTGCTAAATTACTTGGGAAAAGGGGAATTTAGGGTTATTACACAAAAATGAGAGAGAGAAATTAGGAACTTACACAGCTGGGGATATTGGTCGGAGAAAGAGAAAAGAGGAGCAAGTGGTGGTGGTAATTTAATCGATCTATTGTGGCGTGTGTCTTTTGAAATTGACGGGCCGAATATCCGCTACTTGGACTTTTTTAATTGGGTTGTTATTCTAAGCATTCTGTCTTAATCTACTAACAATGGAAACCCTAATACAATTGATTTTAGTAATTTTTAGCAATGACTTGAATATTATATACACACTCCTATATTTTTTTTCATAAAAAAATAATAAAATGTCATCTCATCATATTGTGACAATGATTATATCTTCGTTTTTAATGGGGTCACTATTTGTTAGGTGGGGTTTGGGAATTTGTTTCGTCCTCTTTTAACAATGTTTGAAAAGTAAAACCTACTTATAAAAAAACTTTATATTTTATCATTTGTGTCTTTTCTTTTTCTTTTTGCTGTTGCACATTCACCTTAGTTCCAAACTTTTTAAGCGCAAAAGCTGGTCTAATGTCATTTGAGGTTTCTTCCATATTTGGTTATCATGTAATTCATGTTACAACATCGGTTAGTTTCAAAAAATAGATAAACAACCCATCATTTTATCAGTTTTCAATGTTGTAGTTTCTCACTTGATGACATATTTGATACCGCTTTGTTTTTCTATTATACTACTAACACTTTACAAGTAACAACATACAATGTAAGGCATGTCTGCAGCTAAATAAATAAATCAAATTGGAAACTTTTTAACTTAAACCTAGCAGCAATATATACTATATACTAAAGAAATATAATTCTTTGGGCCGTCTTCAACAGACTCAGAGAAAAATACATGAGAATATGGCGACAACACATGATTAATGACTCGCATGATAATATATAAGTAGAAAACAGTTGGGAACCAACAGATATAAGATGTGTCTATTTAAATTACTTTTGCTTGGGAACCAACAGATATAAGATGTGTCTATTTAAATTACTTTTGCTTTTTATGAGGCAATTTTCCCAAGTCCTCAGATTCCAGCTACAAGAGCCAAAGAGAGGTTGGATTGGAACCAAAGAAACATGAAATTCTCTTATATATGAGATCATGTCAAATTTTCTTGCAACAGCAAATGTAGTTGACAGGAACTCTGAACAAGGTAGAATGTAGCGCTAGTGATTCAGTCCCCAGTCATAAGGCTGGTACACCACCTTCAACTGACTGCTGGCGAGCAACTCTAGTAAAGCTTGAGATTCCGATGACTCCAAGTAATTTGCAGCGTGTTTCAATACTTCAACCTCATTCTTTCCAAAATCAACACTAAACCTGAGCATTATCAAATGAAAACAGCACTTCTTAGTATTGTGTTATTGAAACTTTATGAAAGTTACATCATGAGAGATCCACTACTCTGCATGCAATATTCATGTCCAAACCATTGCATAGATTTGATGTCGTCGATGCAAAGTACACACCCTTGAGGTTCTACTGGTAATTAGAGATGAATTAACAACTTACCATCTCAAGATTTTACTAACATATGCAACCTTGGTTGTAAGATCAACAATTAGTCCTCCAAATCTTAAGAAATCATGGGCAGCCTCCACGAGCTCTTTATCTATGTTTCCAGGTGAATAGCATCGAAGAGCAGGCCCAGATCGCGTACCACTAACCAGAGCAAAATGAATAAGAGGCTCTGGATAAGGAAGAACTACCTGAATGAAAGTCAGAGGTGGGTATGAGGGATTAGACAGATAATGGATCAAGAGACATTATATTATTGAATGATTTCCAAATACAACCGCGTAGGTCAACACAAAACCACTAATTAATGCAGCTCCAATTTCTCAATAAGCATTTTTGTTTACTGAGAAAGGTAGAAATTAAAAGATATGCCTTCTCCCTTTTATGCAATTTTAAAGGGTCAAATTAACTGCAAGGGTTGGAAAAGCATCCTCTGTAAGTTTTGCCCTCCCTTGTTTATTCTGACAAAACAAGGGAGATAACACTTATCCCTCATTTTACCCTCCTTACCTCCTCAAATTCTTCCCTTTCTCACCATAACCTAACATATTAAAGGCTAATCTCATCAAATTCAAAACTTCAGTATTGGTTCAATATTCCATAGAAAACTTATGTTGGACTATACATTAGTTTGACGCCCGTTCTATAATACACTATACTATAGGATGTTACATTTTAGCCAAAGTAGGATTAAATAAGATGTCTTGTAAATTAAATTTAGTTAAAGAACAACCAAATGAGATCTCAGTCACACAGCAAACATATCCAAACAGTTCAAGAACCAAGTCGAGACCTAATCGGAGCTAGGTCTTCAGGAACGCAACTATTTAGCAGTGTTGGTGCAAAACATGAAGCTTACTATACCGTTGCTTTGATAGAATTGATGAACAGATTGATGCTAAAATATAAAAGCCTTCAAGCAAAGCAGACAACAGATTTACATTTTGTCATCTGCGCCACATTTGGATAATGATTAAATGGAATATCTTAAGGCGAAGAAGAGTAAATTACAACCCATAAGAAACCTCTACTTCCACAATTCTACATATGCAGGAAGCCAAGATGTAAGTAAGACCGAGTAAACAATCTTACCTTAAGACGCTTGTCTTTTGCTCCAAACGGTTTGATTAGATTGTATGGTGGTCTCTGATTGCTCCTTAAGATTCCGTTTTGGATAGCTGATAGTGAATATGTGCACCCACCAATGACATATTTGAACTCCCCAAACAATTTTCTTCTCTCCATTGGTCCAGAGGGATGCCCCCAAACCAATATTGCATGAATGGCCATCATGTTGTAGAGATTAATAAAAAAGGCAAGCTTCTCCTCCCTAGGCATGTCTTTCAAGTTCACTCTTTGAAGCTCCTCAGTTATTCTCAAGTATCTAGAAGAGCATCATTCAGTCAATACCAAGACATACAAGTACCACAAGCATACGTTACCCAAGTATAAACACACATTAGATGGTATCCTATCAGTTTATGGCACCCTGAGAAACCAACCTTGCAAATTCCTCGCTGCCATGGATGCTTCTATAATCAATGTGCCTCCCATCTTCTGATGCATAAGCTTCAAAAATTGCATGAGACAAAAATCTCAACCTAGATGAAATTTCTATTATGGGTTTGGGCTTCACTTCTGTTAAACCCCTTGGGATGTTCTGACATTGAGATACAAAGGGATCATCATCGAGGAAACGATACAAATGGTTGCCATCTTCAAACACATTTTCACTGGAAAATAAGGAACAGACAGATCAGATGGATAAGATACTGAGACATATCAGCCAAAAGGCACACACAATGTAGAGAGAGAAGAAAAGAGTAATCAGAAACTTACTCAAGTACATGTTGGAAGAAAAGATTGCTTGCGAGCTTCCTACCAAATTCAACAGCCTAAAGGACAAAGCAATAAGAGAAAATGTTATGATCCACAGCACAAATAATGTTTTCAAAGGCGAAAAGCACAAATAAACAACAAGGTCCACGGGGCTGTTAAGCAATAAGCAAGAAGCGAAGCACATGCTTGTTAGAAGTGAAAAGCACAATTTACTGAAAATACATTACCTAACAAATATGCATTTATAACTTTTAATATCAGATTGCAATTAAAATACTAATTCCAACGTTAATAACTTATAACATCAGATTGCAATTAAAATACTAAATTCAACATCTAGTATATAATCTATCTATTTTTCACCAGTTTTTAAGGTTTCAAGATGTATTTACTAAAGCTGTTTTTTTCTTTTGTGGGAAAAACAGGAGAGTCTCCTAACCATATTACTTCTTCACTGTGAGGAACAGACCGTAGGGGAGGTTTCTCAGCTTGTTTGGATGTGGGAAATTGAGAAGAGTGCAATGCTTCTAATATCATCAGGGATCAAATTTGTTCCTCCAGTGTTCCCTAGCATAGTAATTGAAATTTGCAAAAAAAAAAAAAGTATATAATCATGACAATACTATCACAGATGAAGAAATTGATCATATCAAGAATGCTGAAACGTACACAGGGACTAGAGAGGAGAATCCTGGTACTTAAATAGCAAAAGGCCATTTCTTCATCCTTTTTCTCCTTTTCCTTTTCATCGTTTAAATTCATACTCAAAGAATGAAAGTTTTGCACCTCACTGTCTGAAGGGATAAACTTCGGGAGCGCATCACTTCACCCATGAAGCGATAACTCCTTCACATTGCTGATTTGCTCCATCGCTTTAAGTGACGAAGAGATGACTTGTAATAACATAGAACACATATACTGAAAGTGTGGACTAACTAAATGGGTTTCTCCATACTTCTTGTGATACCATTTTTTCTTCTTTTAGCGATAACTCCTTCACAGTGCATACTTAGTGCAGGATACATATGAAAAATCTTAGAGGACATCTAAACATGAGCCATAGTACTACACAGTGACCATTGATACTCAGTTTGCTGCCCATCTTAACTTCTTTCGTTATTCTTTCTATTAGTAAATAGTAAATTTCTTTTGTATTTTGATTTCAACAATAAATGCTCCAGTCTCTTATCAGAAAAATGGGAACATAGATAACCACAGTACACATATATTTCAAGTAAAAGTAACAAAGGAAGTGTTTCAGGTCCAAAAGGGAGAATAATCACATGAAAATTTGTGTGTGTGTATAAAGTTAATATACAATTTTGCAAGGTTTAACACAATACATACATCGAACCAATATATTTTAGATTTCTATGCAATAATTTCTGGTCATGGAATGAACAGTGTTCTGTAATGATAAATAAAATAAAATTCCAAGAACAGTTGAGACTTGCCAACTATTTCTTTACACATAAAAATTAATACATATCATTAAGACACAAGAAAAGAATGAGTTTTGTTCAGAAAAGGAAGTATTTGAATACAGTACATGAATAGTCCTAAACAGGAGTAATATCAACATGATTATGAGTATTAACCAGGTGACATCAATATATATACAGTGGTTTCAAGGAATAACTTCACAGCTCGGCTGACCATGAAGAATAGAATAATTGTTATAGAGAAGAACAAGACATGGAATATTATCTTCATACACCAAAACTGATCAACCATGATCTGTTGTGTCATGTGTTTTAAGTATTCAATAATCAAAATAGACATGGATGCCATAATCAACATGTTGTGAAACTATGCCATGGTGACCACATGTTGAAGTCAATACGCTGCTTTAGAAGATCCCCTAGGTTTAATTAGTTTGTTTTCAAGTAGTCTTAAGCATTGGAAAGGATAAAACTATAGAGTACCTTGCCCGTAGAATATTTTGAAAGAGCCAACAATTTTAGCACCACATATTTTGGTCCTTTTTTATTTTTTGGACCTGGTTTACCGTAAGCTAATTCTTATGTAATCGGAAAACTGACCTCTTCTCTTTCCAAGTACTGATCTTCGGACAGGAAATCCACAGCTTCTGATCCCAGGAAACAATTGGTGAATCTGCGCAGCTTATAAAACCGGTCCTTTACAACAATATACTGTTTCATTTTCTTAACAATAATAGCTAGCTCATCCATGGACCCACTACTAGACAAATCATCTTCACCGGAAAGAGGTGGTAGAGGAGCTTCAAAAGATGGTGCTTCATCAACAACATATTCAATCTTCTCCATGAGCTTTCCAGACTCATCCAAGCTCTTTAATTCACTCCATCCACCTATTAGAACTTCATTAAAGAATACTCGAGGAACAGCAGAATCACCAGCAATTTTCTCCAGTTCCATCTTTCTACTAGGATACACATCAATGTTAACCTCAACATATCTGAGTCTTTTCCTGTGTAGAAAAAGTCTTACCTCTCTACTTTCCTGGCATCCCAACCCCGTATACAATATAATCCGTCCCTTCATAGCTATTGGTAAAACTGCTTCTTGTGACATCTCATTCTTCTCTTTGGTTCTGTTTCCATTATCATCACGTAAAATCCCAATTAAGCTGAGGGGATTCCACCCAGGTCGCTCTGCAGTTTTCTGAGACACAGCTTGCATTTCATGCTCTTGTGATGCAGCAGCGTTATTCTCGTTGCATTTACTCTTATCTTCTTCATCAGTAACATCTTTCCCATCATCGCTTTTACCAGAAAGGCGACGTAGAACCGTACTGACGGCAACTGTACTCTTCGATCTAACAAAGTTTGTAAGAGCCACTGCTTTCTCAGGCCAAACAGATCCATGTGCCTCTAAGTCACGATGTACAGAACGGGCTGATAAACTTCTATTAACACCCATCCCAGGTTCTTCTGTTCCATCAAAGACAGGTTCTGCTTCCTCCTCGTAAAGAGCTTCATCAAGATTCTTGTTAGATTCCCGAAGGCTTTTCAGGTCACCTTTAACACAATCAGCCTTCTTTTCATTCAAATTAGACATCTCTGGTTTGGGACTTTCCTGTCCATTCAGTTCCCCTGGGGAGAGAACTTGATCGAAGGCGGGTCTATCAATCTCGTTTTTCTTAGCAAGTGAATAACTTGACGTGCTTTCACCTAAAGAACTCTCCTTTTCCTGTTCATTACTTGTATCAACCTGACTCTTCACAGCACTGGAATGCAAAATAGAATTATCTTCAGAGATTTTCTTTTCCTGTTCACCTATTCGAGCATTCACCTTATTTGCTTCCTCCAGTTTGGCTGGTGTACTCCCTAAATTCCTCTGGCTAGAACCTTCATTTATAATAGGTTTACTGTTAACAATTGGTTTATTTGTTTCTTTTTCAGCAGCGGAATGATTGACTGCAGCTTCTGTAACAGCAATTTCTTTTTCCATGACGTGATTCTACTATCATGGGAACGCTTAACAACCACAGTGAGTTCCTAAATTTGGCTGCCGCCTGTAACTAACCAAATCAAAAAGAAATTGTAAGTTTCAAGAAATCTATGAACAATGCAGACAGGGGCAAATGTAGGCTTTAATATATGGATTCTAGCTTTGGCTCAAATTAGTGTAAGTGCAAGAAATCACCAGATATGTACAAAAATTAAATTCAAAACCTAGTTACTAGCACTTGAGGTCGCAGTCCTAGAATCCATAACTCATAAAATTCAAATCTTGGATATTGCAACATATTAATCTCAGCAAGAAATTCGTGAGCAAAACTATCCACATAAACTTCAAGTAGCAAAACAGTGAAGAACAATCATAAAGGCCCTTGTAAAACTAATTTATACCACTAAAGTTAAAGTTTACTGTTTTCATCACTTACACTGCACTAGACATTCTACGCTACCCCATCTAAGAAAAACAATCTTCAATCTTCTAATAATCAATATTAAAAACATTATTCAACTTAAATATTCTAGCATAAACAACTAATGAAAACCTCCGGAAAACCCCAGAAAACGAGAATAAATAATAAAAAAAAAAAGAAAAAAAAAGAGGAACACCTATCAACAGTAAAATTAATTTGGATAAGAAAAAGAATTAAGCATAAAAATGATCAATTCACCAAATAATAAAATATAAGGAAGAAAAAATAATAATTAAATGTTTAATCTAAGACACATGCAGGGATAAGACAGGAGGAAGATAGAAAAAAAAAGGAAAAGAACTTACAGATCTGTAGAAACGATAAAATTGGTGAACAGAGAGAAAAAGAAGGAAAATTTAAGGAGAAAATTAGTTAAGGGGGTAATAAATGTGAAATGTAAGAAAAGATTAAGGACTTTGAATAGAAACTGTCGTCGTTAAGAAGGGAGGCTTTGATAGAAGAGAGAAATGGGGAAGAAAATTTGACCGAGAAGCGGGAACTTCTTTTTTTATTGATTCAAGAATTGTATTTTGCACATGAAGACCTTCATTATCTTCCTAATTGTGTTTTATGGACTGGGGAATTTTTTATTTCTTTTTCGGGTCCTTTTGTTTGCTTCCATTCTTGAGCAAATTTGGTACAAAACAAATACTCCACTAGTTTGTTTTGGAAAACTATGCTATATGCAGAAGAGAGAGGGAGAATATTCTTTAGAAAAATGAGGCAAGACTCTGAATTTATTGAGTTTCAACAGGTGCAAAGATGCTTGTTTGTCTAACAAGATGTCTATTCGGCAGAAATTATTTTTACAGAAAAAAGATAGCTGAACTTTTTTACTCTGATATAATTTGATTCATGATCTTTCATGATATATTCCAAGTTCGTTGATCTATATGTCAGAACCATTTAGTGCATGACAGAAAATCAGTATATAGCTTGTGACACAAACACATCCAAATCAATATTTTACTATTGAAATGTACATTCATATCAGTACTTGAATATTTGACAAATTCAAATTTTGAATTCAATGTTTGTATATTCATAGCCGAACAAGTTTCTGCAGATTTCGTATTTATAAATTCTAAAACAACATTGAGTGACTTTTAAAAAGACAAAAAAAAAACAATTAAAATAAGTACTCCTTAGTATTAGTTTAACTTTTGTAGAAAGTATGATTTTCAAATTGACTAAGATTTGTTTGTGCTTTACTTGTCAACAAGCCAACAAATCGATGGCTATATAACGTAAACAAAGACAAAGTCAATCTCTTAATCTTGGGTTGAAAGTTTAGTCTAATTCAATGAAAGATATGACATCTTAGAAAGTTAATTACTCATATTGAGAAGCAGGTTACCTAATCACTTTTTTTCTTAGTTTCTTTTGCATTCTAATGTTTTTTTCTTTCTTTTAAAAAAGTGCGAAAACACCCCGAAGATCAAAGTCAATATATTTCAGATTAAGTAATTTGCCCATGTAACTGATAAATGCAAAAAAAATTGTACATTTGGAAAAGAGTATTAAACCATTTAAAATGCCAATAAACCATTGCTCTAATGATTATCAAATTAAGGTAAACATATTTGAATTATAAATATTGTAAATATCACCTTACTGTAAGAAAACAAATTTCAATTTAAATTATCTCTCTTCTAAGGAGAGTTGACCCATCTTATCTCTAAGTCATGGGACCTTAGCTTTAGTCAAAAAGGAAAATAAAAATCTATTTTAGAGCGTTATACAGTAAAGCTCGAAATAAGTCCAGAAACTAAAATATGTTTATATTTATTACTCAAAATTATGAAGTTTGAGGACTCAGAAAACTAATTCAATCTATTGTCCTAAATTGCTATTCACATAGGATATAAAAAAGATCTAAATGCATTTGGACATAAAATCTTTTTCAAACTCAGGCCTAAACCAAAAATTTGGGTTGTAGTATCGAAACTAATCCAATTAGTTCTGGGATTGGTTCTTTTGGAGATCTTCTAGAATCTTGATATATTCCATACTTATTAATTCTTGGAGAAATTGGAATTTTTTACTATTACAGTGGAAAGTCAGAGATAGTCGATAAAATTTAGTAGAAAACAAAGGGAAATAAAGAATAGTCGACATAGAACATCAGCAAACTGCAAATAATTGATGCCTGATTATCATATGCTACTATACTGTCACGATCCAAAATCTCCTGATTGTGATGGCGTTTATCACAGAACTAGGCCGGCCGAAACAACACGAACAATACAGAAGATCTTTTGTAAACATTGTATTTTTCTAAAACAGATTAAACCTCAAATCTTTCATTTTTATATGTATCAACAGAAATACGCGGAATCAAGTATGTAAATACATCAACCCAGCCCGAATCCGGTGTCACTAGTATTGAGCCACTAAATACAATTCAACATTGTCTGCTTAATACCATATAAGCCTGAAATATAAAATAATAAGGATAGGAGGGGAAGGCAGGGCTGCAAACGCCGTGCAGCTACCTTACTATCTCCAATGAACCTGCCACCGAGCTCAGAAATGGCTGGATCTGCACACAAGGTGCAGGGAGTAATGTGAGTACGACGACCCAGTAAGTAATAAAAGTAAATAATGACTGAGCAATAAGAAATCACGTAAACCACGTCATAGCACCACAGTGGGTACAGTATGTTTCCAAAACAGGATACAAATCAAATCATCTCGTTAAAACTCTGATTTCAGTAAAAATCCTTTGAAAAATGTCTTTCTAACAGTTCAGTAAAGGTTCAGCGTAGTTCATAGTGAAAGTAATAAAAATCATAATCGGCCTCTCAGGCAAAATGTAAAGCATATACATCTCAAAACAGGAAAAGTGTCAGAGGAAATAACAACGCCAAATCAGTGATTAAATTCCAAATATCTCGTAAAAACTCCAGTTTCAATAAAAAATTGTTCAAAACATTTGTTTAACATTTCCTATAGAGGCTCAGTATAAAGATGAGTGAAATCGGTAATTTAGTTCAACACGTTCAATATAGACTCACTTTAAGGAGAAGTGAAATCAGTAATTTCATAAAAACAAGCCCCTCGGCCAAAGCATCACTCATATATATATATATATATATATATATATATATATATATATATATATATATATATATATATATATATATATATATA